GTTTTGAGAGGGAGGGGTCTGTGTGATTGCTGTCCCCATCCCACTCTGGCCCTGAACCCCCAGCATGGGGTGCCCCATGTCCCTGCCCAAACAGACTTGATGCCAGCCCCATAAGCTGGTTCATGCTCCCGTTGCACCTCTGCTACATCAATGCCTCTTCCCAGCACACCCCACCAGCCCAGCCTGCCTAGGCTCTTTCTGATGTGCCCACATCGATGGGACCTTTCTCTGTATCCCCCAAAGATGCTGCTGCTACTAACATCCCCCCAAGATCCCCCCAAGGTCTCCTGCCTTCCTGGGGACTCTCCTGCTCCATGGTCAGTGCAGAGACCCCTCCATATGCCTTTGCCCCCAGGAGCCCTGCCCCTCGTCACTGCCTGCTGGTCCTGTCCCAAGGTCCCCTCTCATGCTGCCACTGCTGGGCTCTCCTAGCCACGCCATGGCTCCGCTGTCTGTCCCCGTCCCCAGCCCAGCCCTGCCTGATCTCGTGACCAGGTCCTGCTGTAGCCCTGGAGCTGATGTGCTGGACAGCTGGATGCAGCTGGGCACAGCTGGATGGGGATGCAGAGCGGGATTGCAAGGCACGTGGGCAGTCCCAGTGCCCAGGGGGGCTGCTCAGGGTCTTCAGCCACCGCTGCTCTGTCCCCAGGCTCCGGGTGAGGAAACACGGCAAGGACGAGACCAAACCCCACAACTTCTTGGTTGCTGCCACCCACTTGAAGGCACTGCCGAGTGAGTCGGGGTGCAGGGAGGGTGATGGGGGGAATGCAGGGGAGGGGGTGCGGTGGGGGGGGAATAGGTCAGTGCCCCTTCTGACCCCTTGCCCTCTCTCTCAGCAGAGGCTCAGATCCTGTAGTGAGCCCTGGCCGGTCCCTGCTCCCTGCACCCGCTTGCCCACGCATGGGACTTGATGCCACTGCTGGCCCCAAGGACCCCACACCTCTTGGGTCGCCCCATGGCTGTGGACGTTGCCGGAGCCCCCAGCATGCTGGGGGTGCAGGATGGACCCTAAGAAAAGAGACTCTGCTCCCAGGAGCTTTGGGCTGCCCGTGCCTGCCAGGAGCCGGCTGGAGGCACCTCGGACTCAGGGCGACGGGCTAGCCCCACCACCAAGCGCTGCTGAACATATGGGGATGAAATGCTGAGCCAGCTCTACTTCACTGCCTAGTGTCAAGGGGGACCATGGGTGCAGGCTCCCAGGGGTGCCGGGCATCAGTGAGCAGGGGGTGCTGAGCCCTGCCCGTCATTCCCCCACCAGCCACCAGCAGACAGAAGGGACCCCCACCCCCGTCCCTCTACCCCTCACCCCCGTGCCGTGGGTGGACAGAGCAGTGATGTCAATAAAGGGGATAGCATTGGCACTACGCCGGCAAGACCCTCTTGCAGATGGTGCTGGGCCAGGGGAGAGGTGAGTGGCACCGGGTGAGATGCCAGCTTGGGGACAGTCCTTGCGGGAGGTGCACAGGCAGCAGGGCTGGTCCCCAAACAGGTCAGCCCCCTCCCCAGGAGCCTAGAGGGGCTGAGAGACACCCTTGCCCAGGCCAGCCCTTGCTGAGTGCCAGAAGAGGATGCAGGCAGATGCCTGGGACGTCTCCCCTGCCCTCACCAGCCTGGCAGCAGGGACAGGACCCTCTGCACAGCCCCTCTCGCTCAGCATGTGGCCCCCTCCCCGCGCCTCGGCTTGGCCCCTCTAATGGCTTCCATGTGTTGGCACCTCCCGACCCCAGTGCTCAGCGCCAGCGGCCCAATGAGATCCAGATGGGGCTGGGTGGAAATTCAGGCAGCCGCGGCGTGGGGAGTGCAGGGAGCAGAGCCAGCGCGGGGCGGGACCCTGCGCCCGCCCTGCTGGGCAGATGTGTCACTCCCGGCTGGACCCCGGGGCTGCCCTTGAACCCGGGGTGCAGAGGGAGCCTGGAGGGGGGGACACCTCCCGAAAGGGTCCTAGGTTGGAGGGGACCAGGGCAGGGCTGTGCCTTTTGCAAGGTCATGTGTGCCCATGGAGCCCTCTGCCCTCGCTGGGTGCCCCTGCTCTCCCACCCGGGATGTGGGGGCATGGGGAGCTGCCTGTGCCGGTGCTTGGCTTTGCAGTGTCCCAGCCCCTCACAGCCCCTGGTAAGCGCAGTCACCCTGGATGGGGGAGATGGGGGTCAGCCCTCCATCTACGGTGCGCTACTGGTGTGACGCCGTCCTTGAACAGGAGCAGGACTCTCCACGGAGAAAGTAAGGCAGGTCACCAAGCTGGGGAGGTATAAGGGGCCAGATCCTGCTTGGGCTTCTGGGCCCAGCAGCCACATCCCCTCTCCCAGGTGCATCCCAGAACTTGCTAGCTCCAGCTGTGTCATGCTGCCATCACCTGCTGGATTCTGGTCCCCAGTATCCAACCCAGACAGCACCCTTTCTGATGTGTCACGGTCACTGTCATCTCACCTCAGTCCCCAGCATGGCATGGGCAGCCTTTTCCACTTGGAAATCTGCTCTTATCACCACCAGATCCTACTCCCCTGCCACTGTGGAGGGGATCAGGGCTGTGGTTGTCTGTGGGATGCTGTTGAACATGGGTGATGCCCATCCCATAGCTGTGGCTGAGTCAGTGGCTTCCCAGCACCTGGTGCTGGTTTAGAAGGTGACGCCTGCTCAAGACGCAGGAGTGCAATGGCCAGAAAATAGGAGAGAGTGGCTCTGGCGCCCATATCCTGCCTGCTTATAAACTCCAGAAAGTCCAGGTGTGCTCCAAATAGAAGGGGGTTGCTGCTGGCCGCGGGCAGCAGAGACCACCAGAGCCTCACACATTCACAAGGGAATGTCTGCCTGCATTGTGCAGGCAAGCTCAGATGGGTAGATGAGAAATGACAGGCAGAGGGGACCCATAACTGTGCTGTCCCCATGTGCCCACCCCTGTGTCCCCTTCCTTAGCTGGGGCTTGCCTGGCCAGGCAGTGGGGACACCCAGTTCTGGTGACAGAGGGCAGCTTGAGGGCAGGAGATGCACATCTGGTCCTCATCACCGCATCCTGCTGCCCTTGGCCCTGCAGGGCAACGCCTTTCCTCTCTGATGAAAGCTTTCAAGACGGGACCTGCCACCCATTTGGCAGCTGGAGATACCAAGAGCAAGCAAGAGGTCCGCACACCACTGCAAAGTCCTGCCTGCCCACACTGCGGATGCCTGCCGGGATGTCCCATGGCTCAACTCTCTGCCCAGCAGCCTGTAAATGTGACACACAGGCATTGAGTATCCCAAAGAAGCAGCAAGTTCAGTGCTTGGGGGGCTACAGATGCTTGGTGCTGGGTGCTGCACTCCCAGCTGCCCGGGGGGAAGATGCCTTGGCTCTGGATGTGGGTGAACAGGGCTTTCCACTGGACCAGTGAAGATGCAAGGGGAGGGCTGGGGTGAACAGCAATCTGGGATAAAGGAGAGGGCTCCAGATGCCAAAGTCAACTTTGCCTTCAAGCCGTGGAGAAGAAAAACAGGAAGGGACCATGAGAGCAGTCCCAGTGCCGGCACCTCCCTGTCCCACCGCGGAGCCAGGGCACTTCCTTCAGGGCTCGGGCTCTTCGGTGGCTTCCACGGCCGCTGAGCGAGCAGGAGGCTTCCTGCTGCAGGCTGGAGCCCTGCCTGGACGCACCCTGCCCGGAGCAGGCAGAGGCACTTCCAAACCTAACTTGCTGCTGTATCCCACCCTCCCCAGGGCGGATGCTGTGCCAGAATCGCTGGGGGAGCTGGTACAAGCCAGGCCTGGGGATGCTGAGGCTGTGCCAGGTCAAAGCAGCCTGTGGGCTGCATCCATGAGAAGCAGGGATGGGTCCAGCTCCCTGGCATGGGACCGGGACCAGCCCAAGCCCAGCAGGAGAAATGAGCAGGAGAACATGGCCCAGGTCCTGCTGGGGGCACAAAATTTCCAGCAGGCAATGCCACACGCCAGGGAAGGTTGCCAGCACTGAGTTGCAGAAAGGTTCATGTCTGTGCTCCATGTCTCCATCCTGTGCAGGGTGGCCCCATCCAGAGCATCTCTCGGGCAGGGGCTGGGGGGTACCAGCCACCCAGCTGAGTGCAGGGCTTGTTTGGGAAAGCAATAGCCCGGGCCAAAGCCACTGTGGTGGGGCGCTGGTTGTGGAGAGTTGTGTGGTGGTGCCTGGGCTGCTTGACTGCCATAGACCCTGCCAAGTATCTGGGCTGACCCTCAGGCCCAGCCTCCACCTCTCCCTGCCTCGCTGCCAGGATCAGCCCACATTTTGCAGCGGAGGAAGCGGGTTGCACAGGACTGTGAAGCAAAACAGTCTCAACTTACCCCTCATGACTGCTCCTGCTTCCTTCTCTGCCACGTCCTGAGCCAAGGAAAGAAATAAAAGCAGCCCCAGCCAATCACGGAAGCCATCGAGGCATAAAACATGTGGGAGAAAGGGAGATGGTCTGTATACAGTCAGTGATTCAGCAGGGAGGGAAGGATGCGTATACAGATGTATAGATGGATGCATGGATCAGTTGGCAGAGGGAGGAAGGGAAGGATGGATGTGTGGGTAGATGCATGGATGAATGGAGAGATAGGCAGTTTGGACACCCAAATACCATCCTAAGCATCAAAGATGCTCATTATGCAGAAGCTGACTTGTGAAGATGGCTGGGAGGCCAAGGCTAGCAAAGGGAGGCCCGTGGGCAGAGCAAGGACGGTGTCTGGGAACAAGTCCCAGGTGTGACCCATGCACCCAGTCTCCATGGAAGTGTCATCACAGCTGACATGAGGAAACAGAGTCCAAATTGTTACCGGTGCAGGTCCTGAGAGTGTCAGGGGAGAGCATGGGGCATCTCCAGAGGGACTGCATCCCCCTCAGGAGCCACTTCCATCTCACGCTGTCCGGGCACTCGGAGTGGAGAAGCAGCAGGGACCCTGCCCCAGGAGCACAGCAAATACAAACACACATGCTTTAAAAACCCAGTGCTGAGCATTCACCTTGGCCGTAGCTTTCATCTCACCTGCATGTGGGATATCTCTACCTGCGGTCTTGCTAGAGGGTCCAAGTGCCCAGCTCGCTGGAGACCCCTGAGATCACCCATACTCCCTCTTGTTCACCTGCCTCCCTTTCTAACTGCCATAGGCCTGCAAACTCCTTGCCCATCATTGCTCTTTCCTGACAGAGAGAAGGGGAGACATCACCTGTCAGACCAGATATGCTGGATGATGTGGAGAGGGGAGAGGCCTGAGACATCTCTTCTTCCTGCCCCATTGTAGGCTTCTCCCTGCAGGAATGGGTTGTTTCTTCTTCTGCTTGCTGGGGCTGGCCCCCTCCCTGCCTCCAGAGTGCTTTTGGTCTTTCATGGCCAGGAAACACCAAGCAGACGGCCACAAAGATGCTGGGTGGCTAAAGCCAGCAGCTTAGCTGTACCCAAGCACTGCTGCTCGTGATGCTCTCAGGAAATGGCTGCTCCCTCCTCAAAGCAGCAGCAGCTCTTCAGATTATCTCACTGAGCCCAGGACTTTCCTGCCAGCTTTGTTTTGTACTGCAAACAGTCCTGTTGTCCAAGCAAGAGTTCCCAGTGTATCGTGTGCCTGCCATGGAGTGTGGTAGTACTGGAGGACACAAGCAGTCATATCGCTTTTCACAGCAGTGCCCACCATGCACACATCTCCCCTACTGTGCAGCATGAGGACCTTACCTTATCTCCTTGATGCTGCCATGTCACTTGCTTGGAGGGACCTTCTCCCTTCCCTGTGGCAGAAACTTCATCTTCTTCTGCAGCTGCCTCCAGAGCTGCAGGGACTGAAATAGAGCAGGAGACGCTTTGGGAGCTGCCCTGGGGAGGACCAGGGAGCCTTACTATCCGCTCTCCTCCCACCAGCTGCACCTTGTGGTCCCCTGTGTCCACTGCCACATCAGCTGCTTTGTCTGCAGGGGCAGACCAAGCAAAGAGAGGTTATGGATAGTATAGCCCAGCCCTACACAGGAGCTCCTCAACCAGCTTGGGGACTCCAGTGCTCCCCGGTTTCCAGGATTGCACAGAGCAGGCACTGGGCAGACAGACAGCCCCATACAGCAAGGCCTTTCTCTGCATCCTGAAAATGACGGGCCAGAGTTAAATGTGACTCTGGGAGTCTCCTGTGGCTCTGCAGAGTTACAACACATGGGGCCCTCCCAGCATACAAGCAACTGCACTACGAGATCCACCAGACGTGGCAGCAGCTGAGCTCTACATACATGCTGGGCACTGGCATAGTCACTTCTGTGCTGATGGATCTAGAGGTGGTAAGGTGCTAAATTAAGTGACAGGTCTATGTCTGCACCTGGGATCTCCTGGAGGATGCTGACTGATCCCCAGGAGGATCTGCTGACCTGGAAGGCACTGATCCCCAGGGGAATGCTGACCTGGAAAGCACCAATCACCAGGAGGATGCTGACCTGGAAGGGTGCTGATTGCCAGGTGAATGCTGGGGGTGCCAACCTGGAAGGCATTGATCCCCAAGAGGATGCTGACCTGGAAGAAAGTGGTGGCCAGGAGGATGCCAACCTGGAAGGCACCAGTCCCCAGGGGGATGATGACCTGGAAGGGCACCAATCCCCAGGGAGATGCTGACCTGGAAGGGACAGGTCCCCAGGGCATTGCTGACCTAGAAAGCACCATTTATCTAGAACATGGTACTTTCTCCCCTACTCCAGAGCACTACTTTCAGCTCCCCACTTATGCTGGGCACCAGTGCAGCCAGGGACTACTCCAAGGGCTTGGGCTGGGGATCCACACACAGGCAGGCATCCATAGCTGGCTGCAAAGAGCCCGGTGAGCTGCCTGCAGTAAGCTGAGCCAGCACCACCTCTCCCAATTTCCCTCCTCCCCAGAGCTCCCCGCCAGGGCTGGGAGCTACTGCCCAGCTATGGGCAGGGTTTGCGTGGCTCCCCAACTCCTGCCAAATCAACCCCAAGCCCCGTCCTTCTGCAGCCAAAAGGGATGACCAGACCCTATTTTCCCACTAGATGGCAAACATTGCCTTCAAAACAGCCTTTTGAGGAATTATGTGCCTTCCCTGGGAGAAAAGTCTGAGAAAACCCTGAGGAAGGCAAAGCCCTGGGGGTGAAGCGCCTGATGCTGCTTGGGAGCAGGGCTGGGGGGGGCAGGGACCCCTGATGCCCTCCTCATCTTTTTTTTTTCTGTCATTTCTTAAATTGTTTTGCTTTCCCAACTGCCTGGTTTCTCCCCAGTTGTGGAAGACCCATCCCTCGCCCTGTGCTAGTGGGGCTGAGCGCCCCGGGCACGCAGGAGAGGCATTTGGTTAACCCTGGGTACCACCTTGAACTTCCACAGCCACAAAGTGAAACACAGAAGCTTTGCTGGGAATTAATTACGCTGTGGTTTGCAAGCCAATTGTGTGCTCATTCCTCCTTGCAAGCCCCCAGGTCCACGGGCAAGCCGTTCTGCTGGGTATAAATAAAGGAGGCAGGGATGAAGGCTGTGCAGGTGGATGTGCACACTTGTCTAAGATCTTCTGCCAGCTCAGATGTATTTCCAGGCTTGTGTACGTTTGTTTGAATTCAGTCCCAGATTTTCTCATGGCCTCTGTATTAACCTCGTGCAGAAGTTTTCTGAGCATTTGCTGCTGGTTCTGGCACTGCTGCAATATTGCTGTGTGGTTAAACATGATGTGTCATAGCTAATGAAGGAGCTAACTGTGGATGGTAAATGTTTAATGCGGACAAATCAAGCCAATTAGACAATGTCAAGAGAGAAGTGTGTCATTTCAGCTGTGTCTGTCCTGCCTGGAGGAGGGGGTCTGTGGAAGAGTACAACCCCAGCCACTATGGGATCAGCAGCTCCCAGCACCGGCCAAGGGTAAAGACGCTGAATGCAGATCTTCCTGCAGACCCCCAGACCGCCATGTAGGTAGCTTCACCTGGGGGAAGAAGACAGTCTCTTAAGAGAAAGATTTTGTTTCTGAAACAAAGACCTCTGGGGGGCTAAAGGGGATGGCAGCCATCTCTGGTGCAGAGCTGCGGAATGAGAAGTAAATCATCCCACTCAAAGCACTCCTTGGAGTCCCCCAACGTGACTCTTGGCCATTCAACAGCATGCCACCTGCTTTTGTGGCAAACTTGGGGCTCCAGAGCTCAGCAGTGCTTGGACAGGAGCACCAGGGAACCCCAACGACCGGGTTCCCAATGGCAGCCCCCCAAGAGCATTAACGAGTTAATGGCAGCAGTTGTATTTCCTCCCCAAAGGGCTGGGGAGCTCTGCTCCTGACAGCACCCGCTCCTCTTGCTGCTGCCAACATTTCCTTCCCAGGGGCATTATTTCATGTCATTTACACTTGGGTGAGAAAGGTCCTTCAGGCACCCTGGCCCCTTCCTTCAGGAAGGGATTATTATTGCCTCTTCCTCCATGAGGGCTGGGAAGTCCCTCTCAGGGCTATTTGTAGTCAAAAAGAAAAATGTGAAAAATGAGAGGAAGAGGGTGACTGGGGAACAGAAACCAAGGGAGCTGTTGGGATCTGGTGTGTGGTTCAGGGCAGCAAGCTACCAACCCATCGTGACAACCACTGAACCATGAGCAGAGCAGGTAGAAAGCCCTTCTGGCCCTCTCCAGTGTAGCTGGGCTCCCTGCCAGCCCTTGTGTTGGCATGTGCTGATGCCTGGGGACATGGGATCAGGGCAGAAGCAGTGACAACATGGATGGTGTGGGCTCTGGTGCATCCCTGTGGCTTGAGGCTTCCCCATCCCTTTTCCAAACTCACAGCCTCTGAGAGCAGCGGAGCAGCAGTTCAGCACAGATCTACCTGGTCTTAAAGGTGGGATTTACAGATCCAGGAGGGTCTGTCCCTCATTCCGGACCCGAGGACACCAAGGGATGGACAAGTCCCCTTTTCTGAGGATGTCACATCTTTGCCTTGACACGTGCCTACCCAGCTTTCCAGTCCGGGTCCTGGGAGAGGTTCTGGCCCTTTGCTGTAGGCTCAAGGTTCTGGGTTTTTCATCCTGGGTAGTTTTCACCAAGCAAATGCTTCCTGCCTCTGCATAGCATCTCTAGATGGTAACAGGCTGCCGTGGGCAGCTGGTGATGGATGAGAGGCATTAGCAAGCAAGGTGGCTGAGGGGGCTGGGGAAATGCTCTTGCTGTGTGCTGAGGGATGATCCTCTCCAGACCCAGCTGACCTTGCTCTCCAGGGGGTAAAGGCAATAACCCACCATGACACACTGAGAGCCCCAGCAGAAGCATCATGCAGAAACCAACACCCAGGACTGCACAGAGAAGAGCAGGGACCCTACAGCTACATCTGCGCTAGGAAATCAGCTCTGCTGGGGACTTCTTTCTAGCCCTGGGCCAACAGGCATGTGACAGCCAGCCTCCACCTCCTAAGCCCTCTTCACCCTCCTTGGCTGCACCCAAATTGCCTGTTGGGAATGATGCCCACCTTTGGGGTCCGCTGCCCAGGCTAATTGACCTGGGCCAAAACCTGCGAGGAGCGATGCTAAGGGTGTTCCAGGACAAGGGGACATTTGCTTCAGTTACCGTCACCCACACAGCCCTGATGCCCTGCAGTGGGCACCGCTGTGTCTTCAGGGGCCACTGGGACAGTCAAGAAGTTCAGACTCGTGCCTGTAGCATGCCTTAAGAGAACTGCTGAGTTAAGGAGTCCATTGGGAGGATAAACGGAAGGAAACACAGTACAATTTGCGTGCCACCATTGCCGGGATGGCAGCCTGCTGTGGCCTGATAGGAAGGGAACCCAGCAGAGACCGAAACCTCAGAGTGGAGGAAAGACAAAGGAGTCAGCGTTGTTGGTGGCTCAGATCCTGCAGTGGGTTCGCAGGCTCCGCTTCCTGTGGGATTTTAGCTGTTTGCTTATTCCTCTTGCATAAGCATGTTGGCTCTGCTCCGGAGCCAAGCTCTGTAGTTGATAACCTCTTTATCTACCTTTCTGCATCACGATCCTTTAAACGCAGCGGTTCCTAAGCTGTGGCCTGCGAATCCACAGTGAAGACCTGACAGGTGATCTGCAGACCTGCTTCACCCCTATAGTGCTGCCTGCTCTTCAGGGCTGGAAACCCATAAGAGACTTAAGAGCTGACCAGGGTCTGGACCCCAGAGGAAGGGTACCGGTGCCTGAAGGGTCATGCTTTCATTTCCTCCTGAAGGCAGCCACTTCGAAGAAAAAAACCCAGAAAGGATCAGTCGCCTTCACTGGGGCACTGGCAGCAAAGGAAGTGCAAGTTCCCTTTACCCAGGCTCAAGCATAGACCACAGCAACCACTGCTGTGATTCCCCTGGTATAATAACCCCCATACCCTTCCTCAAAGCACAGCTGGGATCCAGAAAGTAAGAAAAGCCAAAAAAAGACAGTTGCACACAAGGAGGCTGGGTATCGGGATTACGGGCAGCAGCAGAAACCCCATAAGGTGCAAAGAGGGGCTGCTGCCCAGCCGGCCATCAGGTTTCGCTCCTGTCACGCCAAGGGAAGCCCAGCCTCTTGGTGTCTCTAGGATCTGGACTTTCGATGTCACACATCTCTCCTGTGCTCCTCAGCTTTGCCGAGAGCAGCAAGGAGACGATGCAATCCCCATTGCCCCTCTGCTCGCTGCTCGTGGCGGGAGGCAGGATGCAGAGTGACAAAGTACCTCTCCAGCCACGCAATCCATCAGCAGCAAAGGACAAATTAGCGTTGGCAATTCAGGAAGAGAGAGGGCAAGACTGACACATGGGGGTTGCAAAAGTCCCTTCGAGGATATGAACCTGCCTCATATCACTGTGAATATTACCCAAATGTACCCAGGGCTGCGTAATCTGCAAACCTGAGCAGATTGTAAAAAGGGGGATAAAGCGCTGAGTTCTCCCTTGATCATTTAGATTTACTTTCACTTTTTTTTTCTTGAAGACAGTTACGAGGCTGAGTTGGTGTATCTTGTACCCAATAAAGGTATTAAAAGCCCTTTAATCTGCTGCTGCATAATCAGCAGCTTATTTCGCTGCAGAGGTAAACGGCACTGGTGTGAGACTTTAGCTGTGTGTGGCTCAGAGCTCACTGGAAAACATCCTTTATTAGCTGGGAAGTATTCACTGGCATGCACTTGCTGCAGGCCAGGCAGGCTAACCTTGACCCATCCTTGGCTGTAAACCAGGTGGCTTTCAGTGTCCTTGCACAGGTACAATGGGCCATGCACAACCTAGTGACAACCGGCCAGGCACGCTAGGAGGGTGAGGTGTATTTTCAGGGTGTCAGCAGGGATGAACTCAGGGAATGACACTAGGGAATGTGTCTAGAGTACTGATGTGATGTCAGTTTTGATGCAGGCTTACATGTACCAGCATGAGAGGTTAAAAAAGAGTAGCAGAGACCCACCAAGATGGAGATTTTGGCTTCCTCCCATGCTCACTGTGTGCTGTGCAAGCTTCTACCATGAGCAGCAGGGCGCATGTGGAGGTCTCCCATGCTCAGCTCCCTCTGCCTCCCTGCTGGTGCTGATGGAGCTTTGGGAGATGCTTTCTCCTTGCTCTGCATTTGTGTGAGATGGGAGCTGCAGGGACCAAGGCTTGTGGACCCATCCCAGCACATCACA